CAGATTCAAGCATGTGCATACATAAGGTCCAACACATAATGGAGTGATTTTTTTAAAAGAAATCTTCCATCAGATCTCTCTTTTCACCCAATTGTTAATTCAAGCTCTCTTTAATGTTTTAAAGTTTAAAAGAGTTTCAGAGAGTTCTAATTGCTCTCCCATTCTGCTTCCCTTGAGCCACCTGTGTGTTTGTGGAACCATGATTTGACAGCCAGATCAGCTGATCAGCTGTTTTATGCTTTTAAAAAGCATACATGCCCTGGAACAGTCCAAACAATAGGAAGGGAAGGGAAGGGAAGAGAGAAGTCTAAATGGTTCTGGCCCAGTTTACCTGTCTGAACATATCTCCCTCTACGAACCATCTAGGAGGCTAAGATCATCTGGGGAGGCCCTGCTCTCAGTCCTACCTCTTTCACAAGTGCAACTGGTGGGGATGAAAGACAGGGCCTTTTCAGTTGTGGCCTTTTGCCTTTGGAACCCCCCCCCCCCCACCGAAATTAGATCAACACCCTCCCTTTTGGTCTACAGAAAGAAAGTAAAGACATGGATGGGGGAGCAAGTTTTTGACAGTAAGCAATGCAAGAAACATAGGATTATGTGCAGTTGACACTTGGAAAGGCCTCAGACTTCAACTTCTGGATTATGTGATTTTAATGTTTATATTAATATGTTTTAATTCCATGTTTAAATGTATAGATTTTGTTGTTTCTCTATTTAATATGGTTTAATATTTTAATTTATATTTATATGTTACGGTTGCTTTTATACTAGGTTTTCTATATGTGGTAAGACATTAGATTTTTGCCAAAAGTATGTTGCAAAAGGTTTGGGGGAGAAAAGCAATATATAAATGAAGTACATAAATAAACAATAAATTTTGCATAACTGCAGGGATATACAGTCATGCAAAGATGCACATTTTTTGGGTGGAATCAGGTTTTAAGTGCATCTTTTTAACATGTGCTTTTCAGTTGTTAACGCGGTCTTGCCTGCACTTTGGTGAAACATAATTTAGACATCTCTCCTTTTAACCCAGTTACTTCTGCATTTCAGGGTTGGGGAAAAGAGCCCATAATCATAGAATCATAGAGCTGAAAGAGACCTCATGGGCCATCCAGTCCAATCCCCTGCCAGGAAGCAGGAATATTGCATTCAAAGCACCCCTGACAGATGTCATCCGGCCTCTGTTTAAAAGCTTCCAAAGAGTGAGCCTCCACCACATTAACTTCAATGATCTTTCATTAAGGTGCTTATTGTGCATAAATTAAATTCCTTCTTGCAGTTAATAGTACCAACCATATGCGATAGAAAGAAAGGTAAGCCAATTAAGTCAAAATCGAGAGCAGAGAGAGATAGAAAACCCAAAGGTCAATTGGGGTGTAACCAAACTTTTTTGTGCTCTGCCACAACAAGGAACTGAATAATATAATCTTATAATATTTTATAAGGAAGGCCTGATGGATTGTATGAAACCCAGAAAGAAGTTGAAGAGTTATTTCTAAGATTTATAAAGCCCCGCCAAGACGCCTGTGGTACTTGGCTTTTTGTGTATGTGGCTTGGAGATTCAGAATAACTAAATGGGGTTTATTCTGTCTGACTGCTAAGAGCAAGCATATACTTTGCATATACCTTTATGTAATATGTTGAAATTAAAAAATTGCCTTTCGATGTTCTCTTCTTAAATATATCTATACAAATGTAAGAAATAGAGCTGGTTCTAACTTTCAGTGCAACTTGTAGGATTTTTTTTTTTTAAAAAAAAAAAGGAGTGGGTTGCTTTGCATATTCCATTCTTAAGGTAAGACTCTGGGTTTCCAACAGGAACTTCCAGTACTAAAGCTCAGGTGTTGTAGGACTAAATGAATATGATAGTGGAGAACTATAAGTAAGAGTTCTCATATTGAGATAGTGAAGAGATTTACAGTGAGATATTGATGCTTAGTGGAATCTAGGGTTCATCCTTTCATGTTATTTTCTTGGCAAACAAAATAGTCCAGAGATCATATATAAAGATCTCTATAGATTGTACAAATAGGCTATTCTCAAGTAGTTTGATGCTGGTTTCAAAGAAGCCTGTAGATATTATTTGACTGTAGTGCGCTAAATGTATGTTAAGACGAGGACCAATTTTAACTGTCTGCTATTTTGACCCGCTCATTAACATGTTGTGTTATTTCCTATTTTATTATATGCAGTGCTTAAGTTTGACATTGTGTTTACTTTATTTTCTATTTATGTTGTGAATTGCCTTCCCTGGTATAATAGAGCTGAAATGCAGCATATAATTGCTGTTAGCGATGATAAAGATAAAGTAATGTCAAAGCATGTAGCCCCCTTCCAGTGAATGCTGATAATTTACTGAGTATATTAAAAGCTATAAACTCTTTCAGGATAATGTTGATGATTTACCATGTATACTAAAGCATGTGGCTGCTTTCATGATACAAGTGAAAATTTACTGAGTTCATCCCAGTAAACCTGACAAAAGAACAGTGGAATAAAGGGCTTTTATTTCACTTGATTTTTTTAAAAATGGTACCATTCATTTTTCCTTTGGTATATTACTTTTTAAGTGATCTGAACCTCTGTGACTCTATATTGGATTCGTAAACACACCTTTACATACTGTTCAGTTTTGTCCAAAGCTAATTAAAATTTACAACATGGCAAGGAGGAATACTTCACATGAGGTGTAAGACTGCTCTAAGCAATTTATCATTTAATTTATCTTCCTTCGTGCTTTCATTTTCTCTGTACAGTCATTCATTGTAATCTGAGGAGAATATTCTTGTGGATGTTTATATCCAAGAAAAATTAGAGACTCTTGATATAGAATTTCAATACTTGGCTCCCTTCAGTCTCACCAAATCTATTTTCTTAGCTTTCGGAAGTCTTTAAATAAACAAGACAAGAAGTTTATTTGATATCCATATTGGTGCCATTCTCTGAGAGAGAAACTATCTCTTTCATTTCAACTTTGTTTAAAAGCATTCTTTTAGAACAAATTGGTTATAACAGTCCACTAATTCTCCAGAGCAGTGCTTCTCATACTGTGCTCCTCCAGGTGTTTTGGAATTCAATTTCCTAGAATCCCAGCCCTTACCAGAGGTTAGGAATTGTGGGAGCTGAAGTCCAAAACATCTAGAGGAGCAAAGTTCAAGAAACTCTACTCTAGAGAGTACCAGTACATTCTTCTTTTGTTGTTCTTTTGAAGAGGACCATATGAAAGATTTTTGAGATTAACCAGTACAACATCTATATAATACATATGATTCTAAACATTGTAAATTAATTATATTTTTAAAAATCTTACTGGCTCTTACAAACCAATTATAAGATGAGTAACCTTTTCAAGGTCATGAATCTTGGAATGTCTTCTTTTCTTATATTCAGTTACATATTGAACTTGTACCAAGTGGGCATTGATGTATTGACTAAACTGTGGTGCATTTTATAGTATAGATATGTGCAGTTTTGTGCATTAATAATAATAATTTTAAACACACTCAAAGTCCAGAAATGTAAGTTTCAAACTATTTAACAGCTTTAATTCTTGATCTAGGACACAGATTCATTAACAAAAATTAAGGGCCAAATTTCTCACATCTCTATTTGAGGCAAGATGCTTGATATACATAGGAAGCTATTCCCCAAGCAATTGCAGTGGTTTATATATGCCATTATAAAGAAATAGTGCTGTATAAACGTGTAAAACATAGAGCTGATTTCTCACATTTGTTGTATGTTGGTTGTTTTTAGTTAAAGAGCAAAACACATAATCAATATGCTGCCCTGGTCATCCCTCTGGTATGGGCTAGTGGTATTAAATTGTATCTGCTGCAGGCAATTCAGTTTAATTTGGAAAGCAGAACTCACTTAATCTCCATAACTGTAAACACAGTACAGCAGGACCCTCAGTCTGCTCAGTGGCTGACTAGCATTAATCTTGAGAGATCCCATTAGCCTGGAGTGGAACAAAGCTAGTCACTGGCATCATCCAAGAGAAGCAGCTTACATAATTTAAGAAGTACCAATGGTAACAAGTACAGGCATTGTAGCTGGAAAGTCCAATGTGTTCATTCTTCTGCATTTGTTTTAAATAGCTGCTGAATCCACCACTTAATTAGTACTTGCTCTTCTTCCTCTCCCCTTTAATTCTCATAGTGCTGAAACTAGTGACATATTGTATAGATCTTTTTATATTTAGGCTTATGCATTGCAATTTCATCACAGTCTCAGATGTTTTGAACACCACTCTTTTAAAGGCAGAAGAATATTTCATGCTATTTTGGGATGAATGTGGAAATGGAGCAATATATGCCATCTAGGTGCATCTGATATGCAATCAGTTCAAATAAGTCAACTGGGAAAACAGATTTTATGGGATTTTTAAAAATCGGTTTTGCTTTTCAAAATGTATTTGAAGAAACCTTTGGCAACATGCTGTGATGGAGAATCATATAAACTGCATCATATAGAATTTGGGTAAAAAGCAATCTTCACTACCTATAAGCACATCATTGCTGAGATCAATGGTTGTGTGTGTGTGTGTGTGGAATATATATTATTTTAAAACTTTGACTTGTGAATCCCCATCCTTATTAAAATCTATTGAAAAGGCTATCAATACCTCATTTTTATATTGGTGAGGAAAAGATTTTTGTTTTCATTATGGCTTATAAATTAACTTCATTTTCTTCATATTGATGTTATTGTACTATTTTTCCTTGCTAGCTTTTAATTTCAGTTCTAAATGTGCAAAAGACAAAGACAAACAAAAAAGCCACATAAATAAGCCAATTTGTCAAACACTGGAACTGTTTCATTGCAAGCAACCCTGATTTGTTTCTACCTTTTTCAGAAATGTGTTCATGTTATGAAGAGACATTAATGATTGTAAGAACCAAATAAAAAAAGCTGGACATTTCTCATTCATTGGCGCAGTGAGATTCAGGTTGATGTTCAGATTTTTTTTTTAAAAAAAACCCTCTCTACCTGAAGTAGAGATGCAATGAATTTTAAAAAGGTTCTTTCTTGGGACAATGTTTTCAGTATGTTATAATGACAACATATAAAGAATTCAAAGGTAACTTAAGTGTACTGGTTGGAGGTTTAGACCTGGGTTCAAGAAATCTGAGTTCTAGGTCCCAAAGAACTATGGCAGTCACTTGAGACCATGGTCCAGACCAGGTCTGCACAACCTGTGGCCCTCCAGCTGTTTTGGCCTCCAATTCCCAGAAACCCTAGCCAGCTTGTCCAATGGACAGGAATTCTAAAATTGGAGGCCAAAACAGCTGGAAGGTCACAGGTTGTGCAAGCCTGGTCCAGATATTGTATGTTAACCTGAACTTCTCTTGCAAAGAAAAACTGGAAAAGAAAGCAGCCTTGTGTCAGGTACCTTGACCTCACTGGAGGAAAATAAAAACCAAACTTGGCACAAAGAAAACCCTTAAAGAGTAGTTTACAAAAGCAAAAACCAAACTGATTAAAAGCAATATAGGGAAGGTATCTTGTGCAGTAGACCACCTGCTAACTGATAAATATTTCTGTCTACTAGTTCATCCTTGTATTTTCCACTAAAAATTAAATATAGTGAACCCTTTCCATCAAATTTTATGCCATCAACATTGGTTTTTAGGATAATTTGCATTATGATTGTAAATTTTCTAAAATATAGTCCTGCATTTGTATAACTTTGACACAATTCATTTTGTCCTCGTGGACAACAAGTTAAACATGAGCCAACAATGTGATGTGGCAGCAAAAAAAGCCAATAGGATTTTGGGCTGCATCAATAGGAGCATAGTGTCTGGATCTAGGGAAGTCATGCTACCCCTCTATTCTGCTTTGGTTAGACCACACCTGGAATATCGTGTCCAATTCTGGGCACCACAATTGAAGAGAGATATTGACAAGCTGGAATGTGTCCAGAGGAGGGTGACTAAAATGATCAAGGGTCTGGAGAACAAGCCCTATGAGGAGCGGCTTAAGGAGCTGGGCACGTTTAGACTGAAGAAGAGAAGGCTGAGAGGAGATATGATAGATAAATATGTGAGAAGAAGTCACAGGGAGGAGGGAGCAAGCTTGTTTTCTGCTTCCTTGGAGACTAGGACGTGGAACAATGGCTTCAAACTACAAGAGAGGAGATTCCATCTGAACATGAGGAAGAACTTCCTGACTGTGAGAGCCGTTCAGCAGTGGAACTCTCTGCCCCGGAGTGTGGTGGAGGCTCCTTCTTTGGAGGCTTTTAAACAGAGGCTTGGATGGCCATCTGTCAGGGGTGATTTGAATGCAATATTCCTGCTTCTTGGCAGGGGGTTGGACTGGATGGCCCATGAGGTCTCTTCCAACTCTTTGATTCTATGATTCTATGATTCTTTGCTTTTACTAAAACACAATGGAACAACATCATGGAGTTGTATGTCTTGTATAATTTACAAAAGACATATTTTATATTCTGCTGTGGGTGCTTTGTATTCTCCTGTATGATAGGGAGCTGCACTGAGTGGCCTTGTGGTCTCTTTGAATTCTATGATATATTTTAGAATAAATACTTTTCCTCCTCTGAATGATATATTTTGGACTAATTGTATTATATTTGTTGTCCTTTATCTTTTAACAATTCTAATTTCTAGAAACCTTTTTTACTAGTTAGTAAATTTGCTTCAGTGTTTTGATTTAGGCAAAGTGGGGCAATCTTTTAAACGTTTCAGCAAAATCCATATTGCAGAACTCCAATCAATGAAACAACATTGGCTTTCAATTGGAATGATTTTCTTTTTTGCCTTAGTGTGTGGTGATTAGTATAATAACACTCAAAATGTCCCTCATTCTGTTTGGTAATACCACACTGTCTGCCCTAAGGCATTACTCATTTGACTGCTCAATCTGTCTCAGAATCTACCACTTTCATTCTTTGTCAAATACCCGGCAGTATTTAGCAATATTTTGTATTCAAGCACAGTAGTGGACACCTGATAGTAATCTCATATTTAAACCCAAATTAGTTATATTTTCATTGCATAATTAATGGTAAGTACCCAATAGCAATATTATATATTCTGTATTCCAGACGTAGACTTTTTGTTACATTATGACAACTTCTGCACTTCTACTAAACCTAAGTCAACACACACTTGAGGAGAAATGGAAATATATACAGTATATATCAGATATACCCTGTTATAAAGAAAGCAATTTTAAAATATATATCAATGCAGGTTTAAATTACAGTAGTTTAGGGCAAGGAGAAAAAAGAGACATGGGAGGTGGAACATAAAATTTCTGCAAAGAATGGTGAATTGCAGTGTTGTTTTTGTAAATGAGCCCCTTGCTTGAAACGGATGGTGAAACAATCAGACCTTCTGTGACCTGTTTGTGTACTGATACTGCTGGCAGCATCTAACTGCCGATTGGAAATACTGTTACTGTTTCATTATCTGGGTGGACTCTAAGCGGGGACCTAGACAGAGAAGATGGTGCTTTTTATTGGGAGGGGGGGAGTTGAAGGAAGAAAACAATTTTCCCCATTTTTTCTGGTTATCCACCCCTTCCTTTTTCATAAACAAGAGTTGTTTCCATGAGGGTGACATGGGTGAAGGGAATAACAAGGAAACGGGGGGTAATGATTAAACTCCTTGAACCCCATTCCTCCTCCCCAATAAAACGGACTATCCATCTCTGTCTAGTGGCCCTTTGTGGACTCTGCCCGAACATGGGACACACACACACACACACACACACACACACACACACACACACATATATATATATAATCAAACTTCCATTTGCCATTTTATGTAAGTGATAACGTTGTACTACTATGTTTAAACATGCTGTGTGTAATGGGGCATGAGCATCCACAGATTTTAGTATCAGGCCCTGGTATCAAACCCAGAAGATATCAAGGGCACACTATAACTCTGTGTATTCTCTCTCCCACGTCCAAGCAGTTAACCCAAGTTGGAGACTTTTGAAACAAACAAATATAATCTTTGGTTTTTGTTCAGTCTTTCCCACAATGATTGATAGTTTTTAGGGTAATTTTTATATGGAGGTAACTTTATGTGGTCATAAGTGTGATTTGCAGATTCTTTTTTTCTTTGAGTCTAAGGCAATTGTAAAGCGTACACTAATTTCAATACCACTACAGAAAAAAGCCTCTCTCTCTACACACACACACACACACACACACACACACACACATGAGGGGCAGCTGATAAGTCTTTGGCTTTACCCAGAAAGAAACAAGATAGGAAGATGAAACTTTACATTTATTCCACATACTCTCCACTGATATCAACACTCTTCTTACATCGGTATTCCAAGCTCTATAAGCCTTGTAAAAAGAGGAGTTCAGTTGTGCCTAAAACCAGTCATCCATAGCAGCCATGGCATCAAAAATGGTGTGAAATTTGGTATCCTTGAGGTGTTTCTTCAGGTTTGGGAGCTAGATCCGGTGAATACAGTGGGTGGTCAACCAGCTGGAAGCCTAGCTCCACCAGTTTTGGGATGGTTGCTTGTGCAGTGTGAGCGGAGAAATTGTCTTGCAGGAACAAGATTACTTTGACCAGTTTGCCACACCTTTTGGCCTTCAGAACTGCCTTCAACTGGTCTAAAAGTTCAGTGTAATACGTTGCATTATTGGTGGAACCATTTTGAAGATAGTTCACTAGCAGCATGGCCTCCTTCTCCCAGATCATAGACGCCATCATCTTAGAAGCTGATTTTTCCACCCTGAACTTCTTTGGATGAGGAGAACCACCGTGCCTCCACTCCTTTGACTGCTCCTTGGTTTCAGGGTCATACAAATAAATCCAGGTCTCATCCATAGTGAACAGTCGATCCAGGAAATTCTTATCAGGCCAGAAATGCTGACAAATAGACATGGAAGTTTTAATTCGCATGTTTTTCTGATCTGTTGTCAAACATTTAGGGACCCACTTTGCAGAGAGCTTCTTCATATTCAAATGTTCATGGATAATGACACAAACACATTCATGAGAAATCCCCATGATGTGTGTTATTCCTTTAGCTGAAATTCACCGATTCTCCAGTATGAGGTTGTGCACAGTATTGACGATCTCTGGAACCACAACCACTCTTGGTTGTCCAGGACATTCCTCATCATTGGTGTTGAAGTGGCCCGTTTTAAATTTGGCAACCAAGTTCTTAAGTGTAGAATATGAAGAGCATTGATCCCCCAATGTCTATGACATATCACCATGAATATCCTTCGCAGACTATCTTTGCAGAAACAATAATTTTATCACTCCTCTACTCTCCTTTTGCTGTGAATATCACTTAAGACTCCATCATTTTGTTTTCCTGCATGCCTATATCACTGTTGCCATAAGCTACAAACACAAAAGTTTGGAAACATATATTAGAACCACAAGACTTTCATGTGATGTAACATTCATTATCATAGAAACAAAACAAGAACACAAAGCCAAAGACTTATCAGCACCCCTTCGTATATATTGTCAGCTGGTATCCTAAGTTTTCCTGGTCCCAACAAGTGTATGGTTGCCATAACTTATTTCTTCTTATATTTTCTTTATTTTGTTAAATAAAAAATTGTGTATCATCAATTATTCTCACAAAACAATTTATAAATTATTAGCATATAAAAAGAAGCAGATATTAAATTTTGACCTGATAAAAGAATAAGGCAAGATGCAGTGGCAGTGAATCCTTGGCAAGATCAGGTAGTTGAATTCTGCTCCTTGTGGATTCTAGGATATCTGTTCAATTTGCTCTATACAAGGTAATGAATCATCATCCTATAAAGTGAATGTTTTACACAGTAAATTAAGAAACACAGCACCATATTTCATTATATTTTGAGATTCAGACTCAATTGTAGTATTCATTTTAACCCGTTCCATTGCAGAGTCAGCATTTAAGATAAGTGTTAATGTGGTTTGTGATCCTTGGTTTCTGCTTAACCATGAAAATGACCAACTTCCATACTGAGTGCAACATTTTTAATTACACAAAAGGCTGAACTCATGCTCAAGTAGCTATGACTTTGACAATGTTCAGAGTGACTTCTATAAGAATAAGGTTTTGAAAGTCAACCAGATGCTGGCCATTTTCTCTTTTATCAGACTCTTTTCCTTTCATTTACTTTTATCCCATCCTTGCATGCTGTGATTTTCTAGTAACCCATGATACATTTTTCTCTGAGGTTCTCAAGCATCCAGTATTCACAGTGAGAATCCTCAATATTGTTAGTTTCTCTGTAATCCACAGGCTATGTGTGGCATGCTGTGTTTCTAAAAGCAGAAGGTGGCCTTCACTTTGGAGGAAGTCAGCTAAGGTTTACTTGTGATCATGTTTCTTTTCACTGCTTTCTATAAAATGCCTGGCTAGTTCTACAACTACATAGTTATCTTAATTTGATGGTTTAATACATTGCATATTGTAAGATCACTAGCAGGAAACTTAGATTCCTCGTTGACAGAAATCATCATTAT